CCATTTGTACACAAGACTAATAAGTCATAATCATTTTAACGTTTGCCTGTATCTCAATCCTTACCTTTATTCAAACGTTTTCAGGACTTGGGTGACTAACGAGTAAAAACGACATGCGGACCAATTTTCCGGATTGTTTTAAAGATGGTGGCTGGCGCATTCACAATTTTTTTTTTATTACTTTCGCGATAAAATTGGCAATGCGCACGGTGCCATGAAATGTGCGCACAAACATGGAGTTTATTGGCAAAGGGCAAATACTGGACTTGTCAAAAGTTTCCAAGTATACACTATTGTGTTGCTGAACAGGCATAGAATATTTCTTTGTGTTGAACAACTTGAAAGGTTTTAAGTAAGGTTTACTCTGTGGCTGTACAAACATATAATAACGTATGGTTATATTGTAGGACATCTTTGAGTGTAAGACCTGCGGCCTTACTGGATCGCTGTGTTGCTGTACAGAGTGTGCCAGAGTTTGCCATAAGGGCCATGACTGCAAGTAAGTACAAAGCTGAAAGTTTACATGTTGATTGTGAGGTCAACATGTTACCGGGTCCCACGTTCATAAGTCCCAACCCTAAACACTTAGAGTTAAGAAATTTCACTTAAAATGACATGTGTCTATTTGTTTGCACTTTTCACATCAAAAGTATGATAAATAATGTCTCAGGAGTTTAATTGAAAAGTTTGATAACAACTTTACCAAGAGTTGCTAAGAAAAGATTGAGGAAAACAAGTTACAAAAAAATAGCATGAAAACTATAACAAGTGCTGCAGTGGTTAGCATGACAAGTTGGATAAAAACAGTTAAATTCAGTAAGTGAATAATATTATGTAGCATACTATGTACAAGAGTTGGCAGGAAAGGTATGATAGGTGCTAATGTAAGAAAATTAGCCTGAAATAATAACCTGATTTGATTATGTTAGGAGCAATATTTGAGAATTTCATGGTATGAATTGACTCTGTTTTGTACAGGATGAAGAAGACATCGCCCACTGCATACTGTGATTGTTGGGAGAAGTGTAAATGTAAGGCGCTCATTGCTGGTCAGCAAGGGCCGCGCTTCGACCTCCTCAATCGACTTCTGTCGGAGACGGACCTTGTCATACTGCCAAACAGCAGGTAAGTAGGGAGTAAATAAATAACAGTAAGTAAGAATGACAAGAAAATACAGGTCTATCAAAATCAGATTGGTTGCAGATATATCTATTGGTTTGGCCTAGTTCAGTTTTAATTCTTGAGGAAGGAGGAAAGACTTTTTTATTTGGAATATAACTACTGAATTGCTTTTTGTTTTGCTATAGAGCAAGATGCTCATGTATTTTCTATCTGTTTCTACAGGGGCGAGAACATTCTGTTGTTCCTTGTGCAGACAGTGGGCCGGCAGGTTGTGGAGCAGCGCCAGTACCGGGCATCACGGCCACGAGTCCCTGCCCCACGCAAACCAATCCTTCCCGACATAGGTCAGTGGACCCCTCGGCCCACTGGACACAAATATAACAAAGCTAGCAAATCCCAGCTAGCCACAAGTAATAAGTATTCCACTTTTCACAGGGCCCTGCTGCCCACTCTCACAGACTATTTACATTAGATGATGACTTTTAACACAAATTCTTAACTACTGTAGATTTTGATAATAACACATATTCTACATTAGACAACTTATTAACAGTAACTTCAGATTATCAGTAAAACTGAAATGAGATCTTAACTACTTTGAAAGTTTAACTATTCTACTTTCATTTTAGGTATCCTTTGTTTCAATATTGATCTTGTTAGTCACATGAAAATTCCAAAGGCATACAGTTATACCATTTTCTGTCTTGAATTTTAACACTGCTTTTAACATTTTACATGGCATTTTTAAACCTGGACATTATGAAGACAGACCCTAAGTTATAGGGAGAGTTCACTCTAAAATATAGCTGAATAACTTTTGACCTAGTAATTCTATTCTTTTTACTAAAACATGAGTGCTACTCTTTCTTGCTTCATTAGCGACTTTTTCTGTAGATTTAACATTAAAAATGTAGCAACATAGAGCACTTGTTATGAGTCACTTCATTTGTCTTTATGATATTTCATATAAAGAAAGAAAAATATAAAGCAGTATTGTTTATACAGTAAACACTTTCTAATCGGACCCCTTCATATTCTGACATCCTGTTTAATCTTAACCCTCAGTATTCTGGTATCCTGTCTTATCTGACCCCTGAGTATTCCGACATCATTTGTTATATGACCCCTGATTATTCTGACATCCCGATTAATCTGACCCCTGAGTATTATAATATTCTGATTAATCTGACCCCAGAGTATTATGACATTCTGTCCTATCTGACACCTGAATATTCTGACATCCTGATTAATATGACCCCTGGGTATTATGTCATCCTGATTAATCTGACCCCTGAGTATTCTGACATTCTGTATAATCCAATACTGTGCTGTATTTCCATTTCTATTGAAAAGTTGTATTGAAAGGAAACTTGTGTATTCTGACAGCCTGTCAAGTTTGAAATTGATGTTTTGTACTACAGGATGTTGGAACAGACAGGTTTCTCTGGTGTGATGAAGGATAACTTAACTCTGTGTTTTTAATGCAAAATTCTAAACACACATTAATTATATAGTGTTTTGAATTGCAGAATGTTTCATTTTAACTTCATATTTTAAAATGTAATGGATTTTGATAAGAATATATATTTTTGCTTTCAGGCATCATTTAAGACAATATAAAACCCTCTTGATATCAAAAAATTAATTCAAATGTCATTTATCTGATAATCAACTGTAAAGCTTTCTGTTAATTTGACAAAATATTGTGCAGCAGAACCTGATACTACGAAAGAATTTATTCCATGGGGGATTTATTTGCATTGATGTCAGAGATATTCTTAATCTACCTAATTCCTAACGTACTTGTACAGTGGTTTAACATGTCTCGTAAGAAATATGTTTATGTTGTAAATTAACTTTTGGAACAACTTTCCTCAAATTAATGTTCCCACAAAATGGCAAGTTTCTGAAAAATACTTTATTTAAGCACATTGAAAAACACATTGAAAAAAACAGTATACTAATTACACTATACTTCTCCAAAACACCCTGTTTCATGCACATATTGTGTAGTGTTTTGATTCATAGGGTTAGATTATCAAATACTGTTCTATATGATAACATTGCTTTTATGATGATTTTCACATTGACATATGGTTTTAGGGGGGTTTACAATTTACAGATTTTTTTCAGACAAGGAATATAGTGAAAATGTAACCGTCATTAGATAGAAGCTGTGCTTAATACACCAGTTCAGTAAAAATATGATTTGAAACCAAGTCCTGTTGGTTAGGTTTAGATGTTGAAATACTGATGGATGACCTTTGTTTTGTTTCAGATGTGGAAATGCCCGAGCATGACCTCGAACCTCCACGGTTCAGCCGGCGGGCACTGGAGCGGATCCTCAATGACTGGACTGCCGTCAAGGCTATGATCCTGAGTGGGAAGAAACAATCAAGAACCAGGTATGGAATGCTGCCAAGTTAAGATATTTCTGGTGTGGAATTTCAGTTAGTGTCAGTTTTAATTAATCTGCATGAAAACATATCATTATATGATACATTTTGCAGCAATGTGAATATTTTGATGCCAAAGATATCTGAAAGAGTAGAATTTCGAAAAATAAAAATAGAAAAGAAAATCACATTCAAAAGATTGCTGAAGTCTATTTACATTGTGAAATATTTGGATTTAGTCACCATCTGAAGCCACACATCAACCTATATTGCCTGATTTTGAAAAAAACGATATACTGTTAGCCTGTCTGCATTACATTTATCATCGAAGCACCCTCATGGGCAGGTGTCCATCAAGTGCCCAGTGCACACAGTATCATAGCAGACTAGTATGTTTCACAGGTCAAGAGTAAGTGCTCTGTCAGTCTTTAGACTTGGTTTAATATCAATGATAAAGTAATGGACTGCTTCTGATTCATGCTTGACTATATTAAATAATAATCTTCAATGTTTCATGGTACCGATTCATTGGAAATTCAGAAAATTAGATATATTTTTTTATAGAAAACTGGTCATTGTTTGTCTTGTTGTAGCTCGCCAGACCTGATGTACGAGGACCAGCTGTATCTGGACAGTCAGACTGGAACAGCTAGACTGGATAAGTTCACACACAACTTGCTGGTCAAGTGTAGCACGGAGGTAAGGCTGACCAGCAGTCTGACTAATTATAGATAGCCTGAAAAGTTAACAGTGGCTGTAACCTTCAAAGTTTCTAGTGGCTGACTTTGACAAAGTATAGATACTAGCCTTAAAAGTTTCTAGTGACTGTAACCTTAAAAGTTTCTAGTGACTGTAACCTTAAAAGTTTCTAGTGACTGTAACCTTAAAAGTTTCTAGTGACTGTAACCTTAAAAGTTTCTAGTGACTGCAGTTATTTTTAAATTCATAGAACAAGTAGGGAGCAGTTTGTTTGTGTGGACAAGCTAGTTTGACAAATTTTGAGGAATACAGCCAAGACCGATCTGCAATTGTTGACACAGGCCTTGGAAGTCTTTGCAAATAAGAAAAGCAACATTGGATCTCTAGGTCTGTCCCTATTTCTTAATCAAATAACTCCAGTCTCATCGGTTGGATTGGCTATAAACGAAAGCAGCCTTGGTACCGACTAAATTTCGCCCTTCACATATTATTGCTAAGTATAGTATGCTGTGTATTTACTTTCACTGCTGTGATAAATTCGCCATCCGTTGAAAAAGGCGAAAGTTAAACTGCGGCGAAATTTTACCGGTATTGAGTAATCTCTGATTGAAAGTAAAGCTATATAGTATAGGACAGTGAAATAACATTAGATATATGATACATAATAAACTTGCCATGTAATACAAGTAACATCGAATTGAAGAGAGAGGTAACTTTTCAATAAATTTACTACTGTAAAATCATATAATTTTCCTGGGACATTAAATTTTGTTTATTTTGTGGATGACAAAAAGCCATGAAATTAAATCCCCCCGAAAAAAAATTTTGGTATGATATAGATGGGGGGAAAATCAGAAATTATCGAAATATAATGTCATTGAAACAGGCTAGTATATGAAAACCACGAAATTTTAACCCCACGGAAATTAATGATTTTACTACAATCTGCATTTTATTGTAGAAAGTTACTAGTACTACTCATTCAAAATGGTAGCCATATCTTTGACAGGTTAAACACATTCACTCATGTATTATACTTTTTGCTTCAATAGATGCTGGATACACTACTTACGACCCTGATTCGTGAGATGCAGAATGACAGTGTTGATGGGAGAAAGGCAGAAGCTCGCACCATCGCACAGAGATTCTTACGCTCCGTTGCCAGGATCTTTGTCGTCCTTAATGTAGAAATGACCCCCTCTACTAATAAGAAAAAGAGGTGAGTTTTGGCAGTTGTAAAGGATGAAATTTAGATGTCATGGCAGACAATTTTAAAGTTCGATGTATCGTTAAATGTTATGGAGTGTTTAACTGATTGGATATGATGTGTCAGGCGAGTATTTTATAAGTGAATATGATATAAATCTTGTTTATTTAGGCTGAACCTTACAGACCTCACTTAACAGATTTAGATTGACATCCAGTCAGATTAATTTATCCCTTTTCACCCTGAATACAATGAAGTGTCTAGGAATTATTTTAGGGGAGGGTTTGGGGTTATTAAGTCATCAGCAGGAAAGTTTGTAATCATCTAACACACATGGAAAAGTTGTAAGATTGAAAGTCATAGGCATGGACTTTAAACCCTGTACATTTTTCTGCTGCACATCAGATAGATACCAATAAATATTAATGAGTAAAGTTGAATAAATTGTGTTAAGTATGAAATGGATTAATTTGCCACCAACAGGATACATGGATTGTTGTGTTACTTTGAGGTACATTTTAATAACATGATATTAGGCAATATGGTAGAGATGTAACTGATAAAGACATTTATCCTAAGGGCTGTTCCGTAATTAACTGAAGGGGAGGGGTGGAGGAATATTTCAGAGACCCCACCAACCTTAAAACATTAAAAGTGATTTAATATAAGGATTGAAAATCAGATTTGGTTTTAACCCCACCACCCATAATATATAAATACAGGTGCCTCCCACCTCCCCCATTCAATAAATTATGGAATAGCTCTAACGTGATATCTCGTCATACGACTTTGCAGAGAGAGAAAAAAAGGAGAAAAAAAGTCAACAAACAAACAAATGTTGATTAGGTCTGTTGGTTTTAGTATTTGACTTTTTGTATTAACAGTTCCACCTTGACATCATGCCAGCCGCTAGTGAAATGTAAGCGAGCATTCCAAGCTTTGATTAACATTGCTATTGAGGAGCTGTGTGAAATAGCCAACTCCCTTATAGCCCCTGTTCGGATGGGTGTGACCCGACCCACTGCTCCATTCTCACTCGTTTCTGCAAATGGCGAGGCCATACAGGTCAGTGATCATGGGGACACTTGTTATGGGGCAAGTTGTTTTGAAACCTGATTGTCTGGCAACAATTTAACATAAAAGCTTCATTTTGTATTCATTGACATTCAAAACTAAAATTTTCAAAACCAATTTTCAAAACCATGAGTTTCAGATAAGAAATGCAAAAAGATTCATAAATTTTCAGTTTTTTTTTTTAAAATCAGATTTTGTATTAAGTTCTTTCTAAATGGAAGTGAATATTAAAGAGAGAGAGAAAAAAACAAAGATTATTTTGATTTGTGATAAAATGTGTTCTATTGATAGTTGAATAACATATTCATGAAATTGTGTCAAAAAAGCTTCATGAAGTTGTTTGTCTTTGTTGAGTGTTGACCCAATCTTGTATTGGTATTACAGGGCAGTGAAGAGGTTTTTAATGTAGACCCAATCCCTCCGAGGTCTGAACCCACGGACACGGACACCCACCCTGTCACAGCCTACATCCCACACCCTAGTCAAGCACGACGCCAGCCAGCCCATCCCAACACTGACCGCGATGATGATGATATCATGGCTGCGGATGTAGAAGAGGTAAGGGTCATAGGTCATTCCATTTGCAGATCACTTCAGGTCCACTAGTTTCTACTGTATACAGCCTTGAACAGTTATATTTTCTCTTAAATTTATGTGATTTCCTCTATATTTGTACAAAGACTATGTTAATTTGCAGGACTTTTTAGTTTAGAACATTTCAAAACCAAAATTTATTAAGTTTTGAAAAAACTTCAATTTCAAAGGTTGCCCAAAACCGTCCTTATATTCCCTGGAATTTTCACCCTAAAAAACACAAAATATGACTTCATATCTTCTCAGATCTAGTCAAATGGCCAATAGATATTTGTTTAAAAAGCACTTTATGTTAGATTTCGCAGGGAATTCGGATATTTAAACAGGATTTAAAGAGAAAGGTAAAGAGTAATGATGAAAACAATTTGAAATAACAAAACATGGAAACAAAGTACAATTTTAAAGCTGTATTAATTGAGAAATCTCTCGGAAATTCCTACGGAAATAAAGTCCCCTTTAAATAAAAATGTTGTAGCATTTAGGAGCTATAAAAATCTCTGATTACGATTAATGTTACTTTGGACAGGTGGAGGTTGTGGATGGTGGGGAGGATGAAGGTAGTGACCATGACGACCGTGACGACCACCAGTCAGAACACTCTGACGCGGACCATGGCCAGGCGGAACAGGAGGAGGGTGTAGCTGAGAGTGACATGGACCTTGACCTTCTCGCCGAGTCTGACAGTGACAGTGATAGTAGTCATAGTAACCAAGATAATGTCAGTGTTCAGCGAAGTGCCGTTACAGCAGCCACAGCAGGCTCGGATGCCGGTATGCATGATTAATGACAAAAAAGTCCTTTGGTTTTCACTCATGTTAATTATTAAAAGAGTTACGAGTGCAAAATGATGCTGCCCAAGAATATACAATTTCTAGCCTGCATGCAGATTTTATAAAATTCTAGAAGCTGTAGTCTCAAAGTGAATATTGAAAAGTTTCACGAGCTCGAAGGAATAAATATAAAGCCCCAGGTATTGGGGCTAGTGAAAGTATGGACCTCAGATGCTTTCCTTACTGTGAATATGTTGACTGATTTTGAAGGTTTTAAGATTTGAATAGAATATTGTAGTTAGTGAACCAGTAATGATAAAATTCTCTGTCTACAATTCATTGATGTTATTGTGTAGACCGGTCAGGGTCAATATCTGCCAATGATTTGTTGATATATATATAACACCACCTTTGACATTTCTCAGGCCTTGGTAGTCTGGCTCACTTCTCCGAGGACTCTGGCGAGTCGTCTAATCAGGAAGACGACTACGAGAGCGAGGGTGACCAGAGTGACAATAACGACGCAGATGACATGAACTACATTGACGAACAGCTGGAGCGATGTAATACATCAGGTATGGGGTCAAGGTCATCACTGGGGACAAGGTCATCACTGGGGTCAAGGTCATCACTGGGGTTGTTACAGGATCATAGTTAGATTCAAAATCAGAAGGTGTATACATTGATAACATGGAAAAATGATATCTGTTAATAGAAACGTTCGAGCAACAGCTGAATCCTTTAAGCTGATTTTGTTAATGACTTGGATGTTTATATAAAGTACATATAGAAATGTTGAGGTGCTGGTATTTCTTCAAATGGAAGTCAGATATCACCCCCAGAGTATTGCTACAGTCTTGTCACCTCCATTGGAGATGTGTACAGTTGTTTGAGGCCACATTCTGTTCCTTCACCTGTAGTGTGCAGCAAGATATTTAGATTTCGTCGGTATAGACTGTGTTTATACATATCTTGTACTTGTAAATTGGAATGCCCACGACTTGAGAATTTGATCATAGTTGATATGGCACTTTCACTTCTGTATGGATAAATGTATGTTGTGTTTGTACCTGTTCTAGGTACCCATGGCCAGCGGACACTCCAGGCTCCTCAGACCATGCAGTGGGCCATCAGACAAAGGGAGGCAACCACAGCCCGACCTCCCCCGGCCACTGGTACTACCACAAATACAGGTAAAAACTCAAGCATGGACCGACTTACCCAGGCAACACCTAGAAAAATCTCAAAGTAGGGCATAAACAACTTACCCAAGCTCCGTCAAAAATATGTATTCAGAATGATTTATATCTGACATGGTCCATAACAAACAGCATTTGATGACGGACTATATTTAAAATCAAATTTACAGAAAAGACTTAGATCCAGGTGTCATAAAAATATACAGATTAAATATAGCTTTGGTCAATGATATTGGGTGATGAGACAAATTCAAAATAAACAGCTTTGCAGTTCGTTAAATTTGTCTCAAAACCAACTCAATTCGTCCCACCATAAAATTGACAAAAGCAAGATTCAGTCTGTATATTTTAATTACACCTGGATCCTTTGATAATAGAAAAAGTCCCGACAAATTTGTATTGGTAGTACAGGAATTTGTAAGAAGGAGTATTTTTGTGTTTAAAGGAGGCAGTGGAGGTCTTATCTATATTGACCCATCAACACTTCGGAGGACGACTACCGTCACTACGACAACCCCAGCAGTGCAAGATACAGCTGTCACCATGACAACCACGGCCAGCCAATTGGCACGTGCATTTGGGATCGTGGTGCGACAGATTGCAGACTTGTTGACAATGTTGCAAGACTATCACGCGTTGGCACCCAGTCTGCCACGTGTACTTGATATCACTGATCAGGACTCTATAGACCTCCAGGTAAAGTCTACTCATGTTAAACCAACTCATTGGAACACCACTAAAGTCATTTCTGTCTTATGAGACTACGGTATTGTAAAAGCACTACAGTAATGCATGTCTTTTCTCCCGTCAAAGATAATAATTCACACGTGAAAAGATAAAATTGTCTTTCCCTTCCCTTCGGGTTGTGATTCTCCTGTCCACAGACCACACCCATGTAAGATTATTTAAGTCACCTGTTTTTTAAGATGCTGTCCTTTGAGTTTCATCCTTCCTTTTTGTATAGTGAACCCTTACGAGATATAACCTCTTATGTTTAACCACTATCAAAAATCTCTTTGTCATTATGTTAAATTTGAATCAGTTCCATCATAAAAGTTGTTATGGTTGATTCAATTTGAATTATATGCTAGAGACTACCTACCTTAGCTTTGTAGTCGGGGGGGGTCTCATAGGATTGGTTCTGTTGATAACCACAGAACTGAAAAGCAAAATCTCAAGAAAGCATAGAAAAATGAGGTGCCTCTCAACAGTGTATTGAAGACCATCTGCTTTCTTTGAAAGCTGATCTTATTATTTTTGAATAAATTAAAATAATCCCTCTTCCCCTTCAGTTGTACACGGAGGACCACCTGAAGATCACGTGGGAATGGCTTGTTGACGTGATGGATGCCACTGAAGCCCAGCTCCGCTTCGGCTCGGCACTCAGCCACACAACCGACCCAGCCAACCCTGGTCATCCTCTCCATTCCAACTACGTCCGCACCATGCGGGACCGCACGAACCGTGAGGAGAACCGCATTCTACAGGTCCTGGATCGACGTCGTGCACGATTCGGCACCATAAGTATGTGGAGAAAGCAGTTAGTTGAGCACCTGTGTCTTTCAAAGGATATGAATAAGATTCATACTGGAAAAATGATCAAATGTGAATTATTTTGTGAAGTGACTTTTAAGAGAAATAAAGACTGAACACAGTAAAGATCATTTGTTAGTAATAGAAGAAAAGACAACAAGAAATTTAGTATCCAGGTAACTTAACTGACTGGGAGTTACAATTTATGTGTGTACTTGTTCTAGGTATCCATAGCCAGAACACACTCCAGGCACCGACAAACTATTCAAAATATTCACATACAATTATGATTGCCATAATAGAAGTAGACAAAATTACCACATATTATCAAGCAATTTCCAGCAGTTGGTGATTTCCAATATTAGGTATTGTATTATTGTAGGTACGATCTTAACAGAATTTCTAATGTTTGTTTGACTTGAATTGAAGACATCTCAAATACAACCTGGTAGATGTCCTCTGTCCCTTTTCTGGTCTGATGATGCCATCACCTTCACCATAATTGACCCACTTACTTCAAAAACGTTAATCATAATAATTGTTTTAAAGAATTTTGTAAGGGTCTGCAATTCTAATTTTCCAAAATTGCTAAGGACCAAAAGGCATATGGCCTACTTAGTGCCCTTTGCTCCTAGCAGTTTTGAATAAATCAGGACAGGGGATGGTTTTCAGGTCAATAACAGTATGCAGAGTATGTTTCGCTTGATAAACTTGACTCTGATATGGAGTTTTGTTATGCAGGTTCTGATGGTAACGTGGCTAGACGCGACTTCCTCAACTACGCCTTGTCACTGATGAGGTCACACAACGACGAACACTCCGACACTCTCCCTAGTCTCGACATCTCCGCCATGCGCCACGTCGCATATGTCTTTGATGCTCTCATCTACTATATGCGCAGCAGTACTGACACGGACAGTGAGGTTTTCCGTGATGGAATCTCTGTCATTTCGTGGGACCACGACGAGAATGAGAATGAGGAGCATGAGGATGAACCGGTTAACAACAGTCTGTCAATGGATGCAGAGAGTGTGGATGGTGAAAGTGATGTCACAGCCAAATCTGGACGAAAACATTCGTTCTTTCATCGCACCGATTCCACAATATTCCTTGGATGCCCACCTCCAGACCCGTTCCAGACGCCACTAGTAGAAGCGTTGCCATTGGCTGACCAGCCTCACCTGCTTCAGCCTAATGCACGTCGTGAAGACATGTTCGGTATGATTCATCACACTGTACCACCACACAGAGGGGGTGGGGACTCGAGTGCTCTACAGTCCTCTCCACATCGCACTCATTTTGATAAACTTCCTGTGAGAATGGGATTTGCTAGTCGTATGTCTGATTCCTCTCAGGCCTCCGGACAGTCAAGTGGACTAGTGTTCTCTGCACAAGGCGGGGCACAGCAGTCTTCCCTGGCCCCTGACCTGGCTTTTAGTAACCCCAGTGTGATTGTGAAACCTTCAAATGTGTCCACTGCGGGGGCCACACCAGTTCCCATGGATACTAGTAACAGAGCTGCTGTGGAAACCATTGTACAACAAGCCACAAACATTGTTTTACAGGGAAGTTCTTCATTAGGGTCAAGTTCTGGGATCTTGGGGTCAAATTCAGGGACTCCTTCAGCCCTGACTGACATGGACACAGAATCCCCAGCATCACCAATCGTACCAAAACCAAAGGTCGAAGGTTCAGGACAAGGCCAGCAGGCCAGTGTCATTGTTCATGCTAGCTCGTCCTCGTCCCAGACACCCTTGATGGCTCAGCCACCAACGTCCCAAGGCGTGGCATTGTCACACAACGTTCTCATGATTCCAGCCAGATCTTACAGTATGCCTTTTGGTGCGTTGAGTCGTAGCAACACAATATCAGGAGCCAGCAGTGAACTCACGCTGACTGGACTAAGCAGTATCGACCAGGCGTCTTCATCTTCAGGTCAAAGGTCAGCAACCCAGAGTCAGAGTTCAGCCATGGATATAACCACTAGCATGGACCTATCACAGGGGTCTTCTCTTCACAGTGGAGAAACCCCCCTTGCACCAACGGGAAGTAGTCTGTCAGCACCACCTAGTGGCAGTTTGTCTACAGGGCCTAGTATTCCATCAACAGGATCACTTGCTACTCTGCCATCATCATCCCTAGGGGGCAGGTAAATAAAAAAAAAGAGGATTTTATGAGAAGCTGTAATTTTCATCTTTTGATATCTGATATTAATTGTTTTATAAAAATATCATATGGAAACTAGACTAGGCAGCAGACAAACTCTCAAACACACTCAAATAAATGAAGATTTATGACAAGAAAGTGAATATAATTTTGAATTTTTAACTCATTAAGTTTCACCCCTGAAAACACATTTGAACTCTTCCAATTCAAAGGTTGGAATAGTTCACTATGAAATTAGTTGCAGAACACAAACTTTCATAATGCACTAAGGTAAGTATCAAATTATATTTGAAGATTTTCAAAATTGAAGTCATCTTCTTTGTATAGATTTTAATGATATGGTTGAACGAATATTGTCCTGTTTTTGAGGCTCACTTTACCTTGATCTCCTTATTTCCGTAGCCTTGGAGACACCATTCAAAGTTCAAGCCTGGACACTCCAGTAGATATTGTTGGAGCTCATGAAAATGTGTCTAACACGGTTGTTGTGGAGACATCACAGACGGGAGTACTCTCCCCTGCCACCGGAACACAGGCTGCTAACAGGCATCAGAGTAATGAGTAAGTATATGGACATGGATCGGGGGAGGGGGACCTTTTGAACTCACTTATCATAAACTAAAGATCTAGTTTTTTGTGAAAATACAATTTAAAGAGTGCTAGCATGGCTTCATGACTTTTTGGTCTTTGACAGCAAAGTAAATATAAGGGATAAAATTAACCCTTAATTCAGAATTCCTATGCAATGATTGCTTTTCTGGGAAGGAAAAGAGAGTTGTTGACCACCTCGGTAAACGTCAGTCAATGTATCACAGTATTACTTTGAAGGGGGTGAGAAGTAAAGTTCCTTGCTACACTTTGTAAGGTTTTTGTATATGTTTACGGTTTAGAGGTTATTATTGGTAATCAATGCCTGGAAATTCCGTTATGATACCCCGCTTGTAAAGGTATGGTTGTGTAAATATAGTGTTTTGTGATGTCTGCATCCATCTGTTGGACTGTTTCTCAAGTTTCATTTAATTTAAAGATGATCAAATCAAGTATTAACATGTTGGAAGACAGAATGTCGCAAACCAAATTAAGCTCACTGACACCTTTATTTTAACCTCGACCTCAATAATGGAAAAACTGTTTTCAGGCATACCTCGTAAACCATTTCATGTAGAACCTCACACTTCATACGATTTTTTTTTTAAATTCAATGTAGTCTTATTCCACTCATTGGTTAAAACATGCCACAATTAGAATCCAGACAAGTCTGAAATCTCACTAGATTTGATCCTTAATGATAATTCAAGTATTAATTTTGATATTCCTCAGACAAATGTACATTGGTCACATGACACTGGTGTCACATGACGTGTTGTTGGGGCGATGGCGTCTGGCCCTGGAGTTGTTTGGAGGCGTGTTTTGTGATGATGTGGGAGCAGAGCCGGGATCTGTCATCAGTGAACTCGGCGGATTCCCCGTCAAGGAGAGCAAGTTCCGACGCGAGATGGAGAAGATTCGAAACTCGCAACAGAAAGATCTCACGTTGGAGGTAATGATAGAAAAAAGCTACTATTTGATATACTTTATATATAATATATAAACCTACGGATATTTTTATGCCCCCGCCATAAATTAGGGCGGCATATAGTGTTGCCCATGTCCATCCCGTCCTGTCCCGATTCAATGTAAACACTTCATTCTTTGACAGATTTTGGTCAAACTTTATACAAAGGTACAACCCTCCATAAAATGGGGGGGGGGGGGCATATAGTGTTGCCAATGTCCGTCGCGTCGCGTCCCGATTCAATGTAAACACTTAGCAACTTCATTCTTTGACAGATTTTGGTCAAACTTTATACAAAGGTCAAGTATGAGTATACTTCTGACATCGTTGTGTTTCATGGAACCAAGGTCAAGGCCAAGGTCACACTTGCTATATATAGAAAATCATCAACTGATTCAATTTAAACACTTAGCAAAGCAACTTCTTTCTTTCATGGATTTTGGTCAAACTTTATGCAAAGGTCAAGTATGAGTATACCTCTGACATCCTTGTGTTTAAGGGTTCCAAGGTCACTGTTGCTATATATAGAAAATCTTCAACCGATTCAATTTCAACACTTTGCAACTTCATTCAATATGTTATGGAGATGGTAATAACATACAGAAAAATCATATGAATATTAAAATATTTAAGGGTTGAACTGCATCTTTTTGACATTAATGGTGGTATGATATGCTACACACAAAAAAAACAAATAGTAATCATCAATCCAAAACCATTTCAAAATTTCTGTCAAAGTTTAAACTTTACATTAAAAGATGAAATGTCCCAGATTACTGTAAACATATGACAGAAAGGCTCCAACAGTTTCTGATTGGAAAACATTGACATGTAATATTTCTATGTGTACATTTGAGTATCAGTGAGTGTTATACGTAATATTTCTATGTGTACATTTGAGTATCAGTGAGTGTTATACCATGCTAACTTCTCAGACCAGAGTACATGATATGTGATATTATCGCTGTCTGTCACAGGTTGAAAGGGATAGGAACCTGCTGATCATTCAGGCCTTCCGACAGCTCAACACGCTCTTCAACCGCCGCACCAACAGCAACAGCCAGCCATTGGCTGTACATCGAGTCAAGGTCACTTTCAAGGACGAGCCTGGAGAAGGCAGTGGAGTTGCCCGGAGCTTTTACACAGCCCTAGCTAATGTGAGTTCTCCTGGTAGTATTTTCTGTAGGCATGCATGGAGTTTATGTGAACATTTTCTAACGTGTTTGTTGGATGACCATTTCTGAATATTTATTGTAAATCTGAGCAAAAGCTTCATTCTTAAAAAACTAAGTCTTTCCAAAAATAAAAATTTCAAAATATAATGGTTTGCTTTAGTAGTATCTTTCAGTACTTCTGATAATACCAAATGGATATTTTTGTTCTTGGACCTAACAAGGTTTGATATGGACTGTTTTTGTTTGTAGGCGGTTTTGTCCCAGGAGAAACTGCCCGCTCTAGATGGTGTGATAGTTGGTGGAAAGAGCCTGCAGTACAGTGAGTATCTACATCATTGTAGTTAAAATATACAGGCATGGTACAGGGCATTCTTTTAGCAAATATACTGTTTCTGAAAATTTCCAAAGCATATTGTTACTTAAATCTGAATAGTTTGTTTCATGTAACTAGATAGCATCTCTTAATTGTAAGTCATATCAGATGGTGTTTTTCTGCCATATTAGAGATACAGGCAGTCTTTGTCTACTTGAAAATTCATTGTGTATTTATTTTTCAGGTCTGATCCAGAGAGCTCGGTCACGTGAACGAGAGCGTGATCGGTGTTTTTCTGCCATATTAGAGATTCAGACAGTCTTGTCTTTTTAAAAAGTCATTGTGTAATTATTTTTCAGGTCTGATCCAGAGAGCTCGGTCACGTGAACGAGAGCGTGATCGGCAGAGAGCAGCAGTCCAGCGACAAAGAAGTCGTGACCGTGAGACACGACGTACACTGTCCTACGACGCTCCGCCATTCTACATGCCGGCTGAAAGTGCCAACGCCAATCCCGCGACCACGCCCCCGAGTGTGGCCGTACCCAACCCCACGGAGGGGGCAGGGGTGCCGCCACCAGAGGGTAGCAACAGTGACACCATATCACAGTATCGCAGACAACTGGGCGAGCGCTTGTATCCCAGAGTGCGGGTTCTACAGCCTGTAAGTTAATGCAGTAAAATTTGTTAATTCACACTCAGAAGTTTCTGCTAAAGTTCTGTTTACATCTGTAAAATTGACACTTTCATTTTTGGAGCAAACCATCGATTTTGAGTTTCAAAGTTAAAACCTCATGTGCCATTCAGACAGACAAATGTTCAGAAGAAATAGTTCAATAGATAGCTATTAGCTATAGGAGGGTTGTGTACTCTCAATTGAGATAAGTTTGAGACAGAGATATATACTGTATAGCAGTTGTATTTCGCGGGGCTTCTAATTTCGCTGTATTCGTGCTTTGACTAATATCCGCGAATTCTAAACACCAGCGAAATTATCGAAAATGTTAACCACTTTTACGGACCTTATCACAACATGTTGAGAGTACCTATAACCCAACGCTGTTATGCAAGCTTAAATGAACTCAAGTCAGATTATCACCGGACAACTTGGCAGTCCATGTTAAGACAACACTTACAAATAAGTGGTCACAACATATTTATTTGTACACAGTAGGTGATTAATTGATTAAAGTTTACTCCTACAAAGGTACATACACCTGTGATTTTCTTTCGAGTGGCAGATGATGACGCTCGGTATCAGTGTTTTCAAACAGTTAACATGTATTTCGAGGTTTAACCCTTAAATGATGACACTCAAAATACTTTGTATGACACATGGGATTTGTGTGCACAGCGAAATTAGACCCTTGCAAATATGTTCTGAATACGAAACCGGGAAATATTGACCCAGCGAATTTAAAGCGCTATACAGTACACAGTACACAGATATATATTGAGTTGTGCCAAAGAAACTGGGACTCTCTAGTAATAGGACATTATAGAATTTTGTTCTATTTTCAGTGTTACTTATGCTGAAACAAATCTTGAGTTTTGGCTTGCATTACTTCTGAGTTGATATTAACTTTGACTTCTGCTACTTGCGAACCTATGTATTAATTTAACTTACTTGTGAACTAAAATTAAATTATCTCTTGCGTTACTCGTGAACTAATATTGACTTTGACTTCCACCGCTTGTGATTTAATGTTGTCCCTACTCTGTTACTTGTTAACTGATGATGACCTTGACTTGTGTAATTGACCTTTGACTTGTGTTCCAGTCACTGGCCCCAAAGGTCACCGGAATGCTGTTAGAGTTATCTCCGGCCCAACTCCTGCTGATGCTGACCTCCGAGGAGACACTACGGCAACGTGTGGACGAAGCTGTCGACATCATCCTCTCACATGGCAGGTAAACAAGATTTTGATGTAAATTAACTGATTTAGTATTTTCAGAAATTGTATGCAATCAGTTGATTGTGACATGAATTGAATGTTGCTGGAATATACTTTCAAGTAGAGTTGATTTTGATAAATTATTTTATTGTACAGCTCAAAAATTCCTGTCAATTTTAGTGATAATTAAAAAAAAAGTTTCATATTTAGTAAAAGTAAGTATCCTTCATAAATGACGGTATAGATTTGATTTCATTTAAAAAAAAAATGAGAACTGAAACCGATTACTTTTTATCCTTCAGAGAACTTAGTGCAGAAGCACTACTTGACCTAGATATATTTAATTTGTCATCATCTGACAAGAAAAAGAAATCAACTGGGTCAGATCGCCGTAGCGATGTTGAGGAAGAAGACGATTTAGAAGACAGCGCCCCGCTATTCTGGCAACCAGGAAAACGAGGATTTTATTCACCAAGACCAGGGAAAAACACAGCTGAACGGCTGAATGCCTTCAGAAATGTTGGCCGGTAAGATTATAATTTTAGTGAAATATTCTCTTGGTCATCTCAGAAATAGTTTTGTAAAATTACTGCAGTATGAATTTACTTAAATATGTTTTTCTCCACACCTTTTAATTTCCTGTTCTGAACCATTTGGTGCAGACTAGAAATCATGAATAAAGTATCCTTTTGGCTGGCAGGAGGCACAAAGGTCATTAGTATTTAAAGTTTCAAATAATTTATGATCCTTTTACTTTCAGGTGTCTCTGATAGGCTGCAGTCATAATAGCAAACATATTGATAATTCTTTAGATTTCTTTTTACATATAAGGACATAAAACCTGTCACTTCAATCTTGAATCTGTTTTTGTGTATCCTGTATTTTGAGATTAGCCTTTTCCATGTAGAAATTTGTAGTTTATGAATTTTCTAAAGAATTAGTCAGTCTGCAATTTGAAAGAAGACATATCGTGACATACCATTAGGGTTTAGATGTTGTCAATTTCAAACTGTCTATTTTTTTTTAACTAATTCTTATGAATTTACAGGGTTCTTGGTTTGTGTCTTCTACAAAATGAACTATGTCCACTCTTCCTCAACCGACACGTTCTGAAATATATCCTGGGGCGCAAAATCGGCTGGCACGATTTAGCATTCTTTGACCCCGTCATGTACGAGAGTCTACGTCAGCTCGTCCAAGACTCCGAGATGAGAGACGCCTCTCTTCTTTTCACTGCCCTCGACATGAACTTCTGTGTAGAGTTGTGTGCAGAGGAGGTAAGCATTTATAAAGTATTTTAGGATGTAAAGGCCTAAAGCATTTTCAGTTAAAAAAAAAATGGCAGTCAACCCTTTTCCCACTATAGACCATAATGGACTCGCCCAGAAAAATGTATGGTTAGAGTTACCAAAGGGGTGAAATGGTTAGGCTGTCGAATCTGAATCCAGTATGAATTTGAAAATCAGATTTGAAAAGAAAAAACTCACAATTTTGTTTAACTTTACGCTTGAAGCCCTTAAAAGGTCCTTAAATTGGATACCAGTAATGCTGTATGACCTATGTAACATACGATTCTATTATAACAGGGCGGGGAGCAGGTCGAGTTGATGACAAATGGTTCTGACGTGGAAGTTAATGCTCAGAATGTACACGACTATGTACGACGTTACGCAGAGTATAGAATGGTGAAGGTCGCAGACAAGGCACTCAAGGTAGGTCAAAGGAGAGATAATTTCTTGTTTTCTCGGGATTTCTGGAAGGGGAAATCAAAGTGTTTTCCACTAAATATACTGTTGGCATTTCTTTGAAATGACAAATTAATTTCCAAGGTCAACAACAAATGGATACAGAAACAAGCTGCTGATGTATTAGTGTGTATTCTTATGATGTATCTATTTTCTGGCATGAGGTACAATATACTTTATACAAAACAGACATTTTCATATTTGGCCACCCCCAATTCTATAAATGTATTGCTGAATGATGTTCCTGTAAGTGTCATCCCTATATCAACTAGAGGCAAAACGAGTGCAGGGAACTTGATACATACATATCAAAGCACATTTCTGCAAGATTATTTGCTCACCTGGTCCGTAGGACCAAGGTGAGCTTATGCCAAACCGTTGCGTCTGTCGTCCGTCCGTCCGTCTGTCGGTACGTCCGTACGTCAACAATTTCTTTAAACGACTTCTTCTTCTTTACCACTGATTGAAATTAAACTAAATTTGACTGGAAGCATCCCTAGGTGGTGGGGATTCAAAATTGTACAAATGATGGGGCTGACCCCCCAGGGGGATGAGGGGCAGGGCTAAAAGGGGTAAATTTGGCTATATTGCTTTAAGCGACTTCTTCTCTGGAACTAAAAGGTGGATATCAACCATATTTGACGGGAAGCATCCCTAGGTGGTGGAGATTCAAAATTGTACAAATGATGGGGCTGACCCCCCAGGGGGATGAGGGGCAGGGCTAAAAGGGGTAAATTTGGCTATATTGCTCTAAGCGACTTCTTCTCTGGAACTAAGGGATGGATATCAACCATATTTGACTGGAAGCATCCCTAGGTGATGGAGACTCAAAATTGTACAAATGATGGGGCTGACCCCCCAGGGGGATCAGGGGCAGGGCTAAAAGGGGTAAATTTGGCTATATTGCTCTAAGCGACTTCTTCTCTGGAACTAAGAAGTGGATATCAACCGTACTTGACTGGAAGCATCCCTAGGTGATGGAGACTCAAAATTGTACAAATGATGGGGATGACCCCCCAGGGGGATGAGGGTCAGGGCTAAAAGGGGTAAATTTGGCTATATTGCTTTAAGCTACTTCTTCTCTGGAACTAAAAGGTGGATATCAACCATATTTGACTGGAAACATCCCTAGGTGGTGGGGATTCGAAATTGTACAAATGATGGGGCTGACCCCCCAGGGGGCTGAAGGGCGGGGCCAAAAGGGGGAAATTTGGCTATATTGCTTTAAGCTACTTCTTCTCTGGAACTAAAAGGTGGATATCAACCATATTTGACTGGAAGCATCCCTAGGCGGTGGGGATTCAAAATTGTACAAATGGTGGGGCTGACCCCCCGGGCTAAGGGGTGGGGCCAAAAAAGTGTATTACTTGGAAATAGTTGAGATCCCCACCATATAACCATGGTATACAATTACTGAGTATAAAGAGAAGATTGCTCATTTGATTCCAGGATGGCACTAGGGTCTGGCCCCGCCCTTGGAGACATAGTTCCTGGGCCATAACTTTAAAACTGTGGTGATCCCCACCCCAAAACTATATATACAAATGCTGGGCAAAAAGAGACAAATGCATAGAATTGATCCTGGGGTCTGGCCACAACCCTAGGGACCTAGTTTCTGAGTCAAAGTTGAGATCCCCACACCATAACCATACATAAAATTGCTGGGCATGACAAAATCTAATACAGTTATGCTACAAGGATTGGCGTTGGGGTTTGGCATATTCCCTTGATCTCATTTAGAGAATATTTTGCCATGATTGCTAAGGGATCCAGGAGAGCGATACAGGCCCTCTGGGCCTCTTGTATTATTTCCTGATCTGGACCAATACTACAGCACCATTTATGGAAACAACATTGAAAATGTGCTACCTTTTTCTCTAGAACCTGCGCCTTGGTGTATTTGATGTGATACCATCCAATTCACTGGAGGGTCTAACGTCTGAGGACCTGCGTCTGCTGCTGAACGGTGTCGGCGACATTAACGTACAGACTCTCATTAGCTACACATCGTTTAACGATGAGAGTGGTAAGTGATACACAAAAGATAATGGCTCCTGAGGCTTATTAGCTACTCATCGTTTAACGATGAGAGTGGTGAGTGATACACACAATAGAGAAATACCACTACTTCAGGAACTTTAACCTGGCAGTGGTAGCCAGGAAGACCCAAAATGAATGTACCTTGACTTCAGAAAAGACCCAAAATGAATGTACCTTGACTTCAGAAAAGACCCAAAATGAATGTACCTTGACTTCAGAAAAGACCCAAAATGAATGTACCTTGACTTCAGAAAAGACCCAAAATGAATGTACCTTGACTTCAGAAAAGACCCAAAATGAATGTACCTTGACTTCAGAAAAGACCCAAAATGAATGTACCTTGACTTCAGAAAAGACCCAAAATGAATGTACCTTGACTTCAGAAAAGACCCAAAATGAATGTACCTTGACTTCAGAAAAGACCCAAAATGAATGTACCTTGACTTCAGAAAAGACCCAAAATGAATGTACCTTGACTTCAGAAAAGACCCAAAATGAATGTACCTTGACTTCAGAAAAGACCCAAAATGAATGTACCTTGACTTCAGAAAAGACCCAAAATGAATGTACCTTGACTTCAGAAAAGACCCAAAATGAATGTACCTTGACTTCAGAAAAGACCCAAAATGAATGTACCTTGACTTCAGAAAAGACCCAAAATGAATGTACCTTGACTTCAGAAAAGACCCAAAATGAATGTACCTTGACTTCAGAAAAGACCCAAAATGAATGTACCTTGACTTCAGAAAAGACCCAAAATGAATGTGCTTTGACTTCAGAAAAGACCCAAAATGAATGTACCTTGACTTCAGAAAAGACCCAAAATGAATGTTTTCCATGGAAAAAAGCATTGCTGGATTAAAGAAAAAATCTTAAAGAATTCAAAGTTTCCATAAATTTCAGTAATGCTTTTAATGGAAAAATCTTCAGGAATTTCCCGGTAAAGTTCAGAAATGTTCTGTAAAGTGTTTTTTATGGACAGGCAGTCTGTAAGGCAGGTTTCACTGCAGTAGAAAGGGAAGTGTACAGCAGTTAGTTATTAGAAACATAGTAAAGTTAAAATATTTTGTAATGAAAATTTCTGATATTTAACTTAATTTCTGCCATTTATTTTACAATAATTTTAATCCTTGACTAAGATCTCTGTGAATGTCTGTATTCCAGGTGAAAATAATGACAAGGTACAGAGGTTCAAGCGGTGGTTCTGGTCCGTTGTGGAGAAGATGAACAATCATGAAAGACAGGACCTGGTAAGTATTTTGGACACTTTTAACATTGTTTATGTTCCTGCATTGTAGTGAGGGAAATTAAGTGTTAAATTAGATGTTTTCCTTTTCCATTGGTAAATCAGACATTTTGGTTAGGTTTTGTTCCGAGTTGTTCATTTATGAAATAAAGTTGACCTAGTATAAATCTGATGCTGCTTTCAGGTGAGCCTTGACAAAGCCTTACAAGGCCTGCATAAACATTTGCAGGTCCGCTGGTATTAATACCAGAAATGTTAAATTCATAAACAGACAAACCATTTGTTCCACATAAACGAACAGGCCCTTTGTGTTTAGCTACATGATTCTAACAATAGAAGTCAAACAGTCCTCAACCTGCATATGTTATCTAGGTATAAATATATATATATACTATGTATAGGTCAAAGAAGTAATATAGACGGTAAAATCCCATATAACACTGGATCCTAATGGAGGTATGTCCCTAGGATACGAATTACTTAAAATATACACTGTTGGAATTACTTCTTTGCCCCATATATACTATGTATATTAATATTTCAATATATCAAATGGAGTTTGGGTGTCTACATGATTGATAATTAACAATCTAGCTTTTCAAACATGAGTACATCCACTTCATGTCTCAGTAACGAAAAAGACTACAGTACATCTTTGGTGACCATTTAACACATTCACCCCTGAAATTTTATAATGAACTATTCCAACCTTTGAATTGGAAGAGTTCAAATGTGTCTTCAGGGGTGAATGAGTTAAGGCCTCTTGTTTGTAACACATTTCCATCACATGACCTCTGTATCTCTTCCACTAGGTGTATTTCTGGACGTCCAGTCCCGCACTGCCAGCTAGTGAAGAAGGATTTCAGCCGATGCCAAGCATCACGATACGGCCAGCTGACGACGATCATCTACCGACAGCAAACACTTGTATCTCGCGTCTTTATATCCCTCTATACTCCTCCAAACTGGTGCTCCGCAGCAAACTCATCCTGGCCATCAAAACTAAGGCCTTCGGATTTGTCTGAGATGTACTGGAAATCCATTCTTTGTCACATTTTAGGGAGCAAAACCCATAAAACATTTCTCAGTTTTTTGAGAAAATGGCAATATTCTGACTTGCCTGAATTTACAATTAGATTCGGATTTGGAATCTGCTTGCCAACATTCTCTGTTTTTGGTTTAATGAAACATTTTTAAACCCCAAGAAGTTGCACAAGTGTCAGAATTATGAGTTGGTGTCAACAACTATCTTATTTAATGGGAAATGGATAATTCCAAGAAATTCTGAAGGTAATGATGACGCACCGAGTCACATTTCCCAAAGTTAGGTACAGCTTTTCTTGTGGAACTTGTGTGGATGGAAGATGATTTTCCTACGTAAAACAGAACAGTTTTGAGTTGGTAGACTTGTTCATCCAGTGGTACGTTATCTTCATGGGATGGATACAGTAAAAGAGGAATTTATAGACGATTGATCAACAGCAGCTTTCCAAATTAAATAACGCATTATATGTTAAATTTTGACTTTTCAAGTAACATCTATTTTAATATCCTTGCATAGGCGTTCTCGAATGTTTGAAGAGATAAGATGGAACATTCTAGTTTTGCAATTATTAGTGCATCATCGTTTTAAGGTGTAACGTTTTCTAAGATGAAGAAAATTAATTATGACTTTGAGAGTTGATGTGCTAAAAACTGATAACCACTGAAATAGATTTATAAATTGTAAAATGGGAAATTGATAGCTACTGCCATACTCGCCAAGGTGAACTAGTTTTGACATCATTCCAATGTGGAATGCTTTAAGGCCTATAGCAGGATTCAAAATGCTGGCATCATTTATTCATTTATGTGTAGTCTTATCGTACTTCAGTCGTTCAAGTATACAATATTTATATGTTTGGCATTCATGAGATAATGAATGCAAATACTTTTCATTTAAATTCAGCGATCTGACTAAGAGACAGGTACAATTATTTAAATCCCATCAATAAGTGCTAAATCTATTTAATTCTGATATGCTGTATATATTTACAGTGTAATATACAATGGCAAATCATTCTTCTTTCCTTTTAATGATATAATCTGGACTATAAGCTGATTATTTCTGTATAAGATTAATATAGTCAAAACAAATTCATTTCCAAGTATATTATTACTAATTTAAAGACATTTGAGAAATGTTACAAGTGTTATTGGTATCTCAATATTATCTCTGTTCGATTCACAAAATATTTTAATTCCATTTTCAAAATATTTCTGTATTGTCCGATATTTCAGTACAATTTTCTATTGGAACTTCTACAAGTAAGTCCTGTTTTATGTGCGTTTGTTACTACATTTCTGTTCGCCAATAAGTGAATTGCTGGAAATTTATACGGATAAATTAGTATCGTCATTTGGGTCTGGGTTTATTTTATCAAATTTTACTCTTATTGAGAGGGGGAATTATTTCAGAAGTACCGGTAAGAATTTTATGTGCTGAATTTCCATACAATTAATTCAGTAACTTGCAAATTATTTATGTTCTGTTTTCTGTCAAGGATATTTTCATGAACTGTATTCACTTCCAAAGACTTGTGGACAGTTTAATTCCTGATACTTAGACATTTTAGGTACTGTATTTTCCCCATAGCCATGTGCTATAGATTCATTTCTGAATGGATTAGAATTTATAGGTGTACAGTACTTTATTCTGACCATTGTGGAGGAATGTGTACGTTACTTGGAATCGTGTGTTTTAGGTATTAAATGTGAACCTGTTTTAGGCGTACATGTTGTTTGTCAGATTATGGTTATCATATGCTTGATCATAGCAGGTCCTTGGCCAGTGAGACACCTACTTTAGTAAGTGTGGTTTTCTTGTTTTAATGTACTTGTAAGAGGCGTGGAAATTCTTCTGTGTGTGGCAGGAAAAAATGATTTAATATGTTTATTTAATAGTTTGTCACTTTGTGTAAAAAATGTATTTACATTGGAAGGCGTAATGCACTGCAATAGATTCTTGATTCTGATCATTTAGCCAGAGGGCTTCTAACATGTATCATCAGTTTTACATGGATTAATCCATAAATATTGTAATTCACAATTACATTTCATACTGCTGTCAATTCTTTTCTTTGTGATAATTTATACCAGGTACTGGTATATATATAGGTCATGTTGTTCAAAGTATGCTCAGCTTAACAAGCCATTTAGAAAATTGTTCAAATACTGGGTATATAATATGATTTTTGAGAAATGCCTGAAAATCTATTTTTTACAACCTTTTTTGTATTTCCTTGATTGAGGATTAATTTCAGTCGGTGTACATTTACTAGATTAAAATTTTGCAATAAATTGTTGTAAGCTAGTCATGCTTTGAACAGCTGGGCCTCTGTGATTTCCCCCACAACAAATATGTGTATCTTGTGCTTCTATATCGGTCAAATATTGAAACAAAATGTGATCATGATGTTAATATGGCTATTTGAATTTCCATTGCTACTTTAAGATAGAGAGCCTCGTTGTTCTGTGCTGTATCTCCACTGAGGGATATTTTGGCGTTTCTTCTGGCTTGGAGTTGATTACTCATTTACAATAGCAACACTAGGAAAGAAGGCAAGAAACTTTTATAACAATTTCCTGTTTCATAAAAAACATCTCTGCCAAGAGGATGCAGTTCTCAAACGTCTTGATTTTATCAATTGCGCTACTGGTAATGATATTTGTTCATATTTTTTGCAACATTACTGTGAATTATTTCGAGTCTTCCAACTCATTAGTCGTCTTTGTACAAATATAAAGAAAATAATTAATGTAAACTTAACTGGAAAATAACTCTTGGCTTGTATAGAGTAGAAAAGTGTTCGGGCTCTCTACCTTAAAGAAAGGTTATCATTTGATTAGAATAATTTAGAACTTTTGGAGCTGTTTCATTTGGCTCCATCATGGGTTGAAGATTGCTTGTGGTACACTGGAAGTGTATGCAGCATGGTAAAAGATTATTGGTCATGGTCAGGTCATATTAAATTTTAAATGAAGAGGAACCAAACACATTTAGCTATCTATTGTACAGTTGAAAGTTTAGAGTAGAATGAGTGTGTAACAGATGTAGCAAGTTTGAATGTGGAATGTTTGATGGAACATTACTATGGTAAATAATCTTTTCCTTAAGGATTGAGCTTCTGTTTGAAATTTCGGTGCTGAAAGGGGGTTTCATTTAATTGAAATGATATTTGCCACGGATATTTTTTACTGGACACTGTTTCTAGGAGAACTTTCAAACAAAATGTGTTTCAACTCTTCCCCTCCTCCCTTCCATAGAATTATCAGGGTGTGTGGTGGTGGGGGGAGGAGGCATATGAGTGATTTAAACCCTTTAGCCTCTTACATTGATGGGGACTAAAATAAAAACTATTTAAGCATGTGACTTATCTAAAAACAATCAAAATTAAAGGGTTCAAAACCAACATCAGTGAGATACAGTATCTGTATGTTAAAAATGCAGAAATCATACTGTTTTGTGATAGGTATGAAAATGTGATTCAGAAAAATGTTCATATATATTAACCCAATGAAAATATAACTTTGGAATTTAAAGATTATGATTCGTCTTGGAACAATCTGTTCAGATTGCAAACAGATCAACTTTGAGCAAGAGACATTGGGTATAAGACTTTTCCTTAGGAGAAATAAAGGAAAGTACTTGTTTTATATTATTTGGGGGCAAAAAAGGATTGAACTTCTCCTTTTCAAACTAGATTCCATCAGATGTGTATTCGGAGGAATGTGACTTGTATGATTCTGTACTATTGGAGAGCTAGGGTGTAATTGTTTGTGTGACAGTATATAATAAAGGACATCTTGAAAATAGTCATTGTTGTTTGTACTTTTTTTTAGGTCAACTGATCTTTAGCTATCCGTCTTTAATTTGTCCATCGTCATACGTCGTCCGTTAACATTTTACATTTTCAACTTAAGCTGAAATACTTTCGAAGGGATTTCATTTATATTTCCTTGGAATGTTACTTACAACTCCCTGACCAAGTGTTGTAATTTTTAGGGTCAATCAGAAATCCAATATGGACGCCATTTTGAAAAACTATTTCAAACTTGAAGTCCAGTTCTACCGGGCTGATTTAACCGAAACTTGGTAGGAATGATCAACTCATGGTCCTGGCAAAGTGGGGTTTTTTTCGGGCCGATCAAAAATTCAATTGTCCGCCACAGCTGCCATTTTTTTATTTTTTTTTTATTACAATCTTAAAATCAAGTTCTAATAGGCAAATTCAACTGAAAATCAGTCGAGGAATGATCAACTCATGGTCCTGACAAACTTAACTTAATGTTATACTTAACTATTATTTACTCCAATTGGTAGGGATGAATGACATCTTTATCTCCACTTCATATTTCAACAACAAAAATAAATACTGTAGGACTCTGGTGACTGTTAAGGCCCATGGGCCTCTTGTTTAAAGATACTGTACAGCACTTATTTTTTTGTGGAGGTTTTATTTTGTGAACTTTGATGCCTCCTGTGATTTTTTTTTCAAGATATAGGTCACGTAGATTAGTTGGCCTTCCAATAGAATGCTTATTAGGAATATTGACTATTCCTTTTACAACAGTTACGACACAGGCTATTTCAACTTATATCAATCACTCTTGTGGGCCCGGATGTAAGCACGGTTAGGTCTTCGTGTTGGAGGAAGCCAGAATACCCGGAGAAAAGCATCGTGGTCGTGTAGGTGACCACATACATTTTCACTTTCGATAGGAGAATCGACCCTGGCCCCATGTTGAGAGGTGAGTGCATGATCCAGCGCACCACATGGCCACCCAAAATTTAAACGTTTTTACGGTACACAACTTTGCTCGATGAATAAAACCAAAAAATATTTAACCCAGCAAAGGTAAAGTTCTGTGGAGTCGACTTTCTCAATACTAATAAAGATGTGAGAGTCATATTTACAGTAACAGAACTGTTTGTGGCTTCAGAAAAATATGTTGTATCAATTTAGCTTTAATCACGATAATACTTTTCTGGATCATAATATCGGAAGCGAAGTTTTTACAAAACTTCAAAGAGAGAAGGTATGAAGACTGGACAGTCATATTCGTCATTATTTCTGAATGGCTGAATATGCATTGACAAAGTTTCCTAGATGGATATACTGAGATGCCAGAGTGTTACAAACATACTCCTACCAAAACCCCTCGAAGGTCAAAATCACCAAGAGGTCGGAAGTTCTACCGTTATAATTAATGCTTGTCCAGGTTATAACTTCGGAAAGCTGAAATTTCTTTTGTTGAAACTCCATAGAAAATTAGATCTCACTTTGCGTAAATATGATTATATACGCTGTGTCATATTTCAACATGTCTCGCATGTCCTTATCTTAAGGTCAAGGTTACATCAAAGGGTCAAAATTGAGATCAATGTCGATCACTATTCACACGAAAGTTCAACATACAGAATAGGTAAAATAATCTGTTGATTTTATTTCACGTAACATCTTTGCAGTTGACTAGTGTTTGACGAATCTTCCTACTTAGTTGTATGGTTACTAGACCATGGTATGGGTGCACTTTTTGCTTTCAATACAATGCAGTGGGGAACATGCACATTGCTTTGAAGACTAGACAATGTACCATAGTCATGTATTATTTTGAAGATTCAGGCCCATTGGGCCTATGCCCCTGTGGCATCACCCATAAAAGGTGTGCAGTGCACTAAAATCAGGTCTCGTCCCCCACTATATACAGAGTTATGGCCCTTTGTTTATTTTTAATACCAAAGTTTGTCCGAGGAATAAGTTCCATGTTACTTCACCTACGTTGACCAAACTTACCATATTTATGTATCTTGGGAAGGTGGAGTCTCACACTGAAATCGGGTCTTGTGCCCCACTATATACAGAGTAAGGGCCCATTGTTTATTTTCATATCAAAGTTTGTCCACGGCATAACTTCTAAACCGTTAAATATATCTTGATCAAACTCAAAGTATATCTGCATCACCCATATAGAAGAGTTACGGCCCTTTGTTTATTTTTTTATATCAAAGTTTGTCCATGGCATAACTTCCATGTTATTTCACCTACGTTGACCAAACTTGCTATAGTTATGTATCTTGGGAAGGAGGAGTGTCGCATTCTAAAATCGGGTCTCGTGCCCCACTATATAGAGATATATAGCCCTTTGTTAATTTTTTATACCGAAGTTAGTCTATAGGCTAATAAGCGGAGACCTGTGTTTTTGTTCACAAAAACTCTCTAGTTTTGAACAGTAGCATGCTTGTAACTGAGGTTAAACCACGGCTAACCTGGTTGAGTAAAGCTGGTTCGGTAATAAAAATAAATTAAAACGATCAGGCCAGAAGCTACAGTTCCTACAGCTATTCCAATGATTGTTTGTCATAAAGTTACGATAACAAAACATTTACTTTGAAATGGTTTAGGCAATTAAGCTTATTTCATATTCACTAAGTAACAGAGTATATATATGTTAATTATATAGTCTATATATCGCAGCAGCATCGAAAAAAAGTATGACGCTTCAAAAAGTGCAATTTGATGTTTACACTTTTTAAAACTCAAATATAGGATAAATTTTGCATATAACAAAACATTATTGTTAAAAATAAATCACGTGGCGAAAGTGACAATATTTTTTATAAAAACGGCCAAATGCATATATTCCGGAACAGATTATGTCCGTGTCAGTTATTTGGTTTTTCATTTAGTATCAACAGTAATGGCCGCCGCCTTTCAGTTCGAGTCTGAATATGACGCATGCTGTTGAATCGGATCTTTAATCACTATTTATTTGACGCAGTAACTCTGTGTGAACAGAACAATCGGTCCACGACGAGCCATTCTACTTGCGTACCTTATATTGTCATTTGCAAGGTAAGAAAACTGGCTTATAACATGAATATGCAACCTGAATAATTTGAGACAGCCCGCACGTGTAACCAGTTTTGACGATATACAATTGAGACACGAGTTTTAGTATTTAGTAGCATACTTTGTACTTTTTGCAGTTTTAAGAATAGTAATCTCAGTAATCTATAAAATGTGCGGTAAATCAAGGAACACTACCATCAGATTGGAAACACGCAATTGTCAACCCATTATACAAAAAGGGAGACAAGTACAACCCAGCAAATTACAGACAAATATCACTAACCTGCATCTCATGAACACATCATAACTTAAACGACAGACATAACAAGCGCCACAATGACACATCTGGAGAATAACAACATATTATATGACTTACACCATGGCTTTAGATCCTCCAGATCCTGTGCAACACAGCTCACCACATTCATACATGATCTCGAACCAAACAACAACATCAACAAACAGATAGACATCATCATTATGGACTTTGCCAAAGCTTTTGACAAAGTCCCACACAAACGACTACAGTACAAACTCAAATATTATGGATAACAGGGAACACACACGCATGGATTACAGACTTTCTCTCATTCCGCACCCAAACAATAGTACTTGAGGGCAAACAATCAGATAAAATTTGCGGTCCCTAAAGGAACCTGTTTGGGCCCCATCCTCTTCCTCAATACAGTACTCTGAGACTCTTTGCAGGCAACAGCATCATATACAAGACGTTAATCAATAAAGAAGACACATTTAAAATACAACATGACCTTGACGCAGCAGGACAATGGGAGACGGACTGGCTAATGAAATTTCACCATGATGCATCATACTCAACATTTCACTGAGACGCAACTACAAACTCCACAACCACATATTACACCAAGTAGAATCCAGCAAATACTTTTATAGGCTTAACATTACAAAATAACCTACAATGGGACAAACCTATTAACAACATTACAGCCAATGCCAATAGGTCCCTAGGTTTTCTAAAAAGCAACTTAAAAATAAACTCACCACATATAAAAGAACACGCATACAAAGTACTAGTCAGACCAAAACTTGAATACTGCTCTTCCATTTGGGAGCCACACAATACAAACCAAATTATTCAAATAGAAAAAACGAAGAGCAGCACGCTATCGTAAACGACAGATACCACAACACGAGCTCAGTAACAGACATGATCCACAAACTACAATGGCCAATACTACAAACACAGCGCTTTCACACAAGAATGATCCTTTTTTACAAAATTATAAACCCAACATATATACTCACATCCGTAGACCTTCGAACCAGACATGCACACCCTTATGCATACAAACACATATCTGCTACAAAGGACACCTACATTCTTTCCACATGCAATAACACAATGGAATCTCCTTCCCATAGCAACAGTACAATGCACAACACTAGAGGACTTCAAGGTACACATATACCCTATGCAGCCCTTGAAGCTGTCATCCCACGCTAAAACATACGCCAGCTTTTACCTTTTATCTATACCCTGCACATAACCCCCCCCCCCCCCCAAAAAAAAAATCAATCACTGTAAATAACCCCTTTTTCACGCCTCTGTGATAGGACCCCCAAGGGCATAATTGTCAACACATTGATGGAGCCCCTGCACCCTAAAGAAGTGGACCCCTCCCCACTACTCCTATAATATAAGAGGCCACTCTTTTTTCTATCGGATATGATTTTGCCGACTGATACACGGCGCCTGTCAAAATTATCTCGCTGTGTAAACCTCTAACACTGTTGGAGTACCCTCTCCACGAATATTAAGAAATGTTCTCTGTCCATTTCTGGCAAGCTGAAGAAGAGAGCTGAGCAGCGCTAGCTAGTACATAGATAGTGTTTCTGTTCGGATCAGGTAATGACCGAAATGTGCCGAAATGGAGTTGAATGACAGAAATGGAGAGAAAAAAAGCGCCGAAATGGACCTCGAATCTATACGATCCCAATTAATATTGTTGATGGTAGTCTCTGGTGGAGCTCTTTATCAAATGTCTTACTGGCGTCCAGTAGCACGAGGTCATTCTGGTCAATGCCTTTCACTAGCTCATGGATGGTTTGTATTACCTGCATTTCACAGGATCTTCTTTTGCAAAAGGGAAGCTGAGTGTCAGATAAGATGCCGTGACAGTTGATGTGTTTTATAACCAAAATTTGTGTATAATCTGCTCTACTAACTTATAGCATAAAGCTAAGAGTGACACACATCTGCTCTTGAATAATCTCCTTTTGTAAATAAAACGTGTGCCTGTTTCCACACCCCAGGGGCATTCAGGAAGCGTCTAAGGAAAACTTGAATGTCCTTTGAAGTGCTAGGGCTAGTTTAGCAGTGATTTCTGAAGCTATCTGGAAGGTATTGATTCTGGGCCGAGTCTTCTCAGCAGCTTCTCTACTCCAACCAGTACACCAGTGTGTTTACTAAACCTTCACTTGTATGCTGGGCATTAATGGTGATGGTATTCCACCTGGAGTGGTACATTGTTGGTGACCCACGCCCCTTTGCTCTCCATTCTGTTGCTCTACCGCTGAGCTAAAGGGAAATTCTCTACACCTGACGCTTGTAAGGCAACTTATCAATGAAATATTATCTCAGATAAATTGAGATAATATGTCACACTATTTCTCTGTCAGTCATAGATCCCAATACTGACCATTTGCCCTAGGCCTTCAGCCAGAGGGAGCTGATCACACAGCATGACCCCCTATACAGCTCAGCTAGTACTGATTAGCCTACACTTGTGCAGCTAAAACTAATTATTACTTCTCAGATAAATTGAGATAGTATGTCACACTATTTCTCGTCAGTCATATATATTTAATTTAGCTGATACTGGATGGAAAAAGATTTTTTTATACTTTATGGTAACCTGTTTCTATGTGTTTAGTTTGTATTTAAACATGATTACCATATAAATGTTGGTCCATAAAAAAGTGCAACTGTAGTTGTCAGGGATTTTTTTTTGCTCAACTTTACTGCCGAATACAGGCTGTTTCCCCTAGCTAAAAAGTGCATTATTTTCCCAAAATGACCAATATATATATATATATATATATGAATTCAATTTAATGCAAATTATGCTATATTTTCCCAATTCATTAAGGAAAAGACAGTTGTTAAATTTTGGTAACAAAAACACTGGTTGTGTCCAGCAGTAGTGAACCAAGACAACAAAAGTGTTCAGCACTCCAAGGCTTATAAAGATTTGTTGTGTTGCAGCCCTACTGGTGTAGACATGGATGCCTCCGTGAAGTCGAGCGAGTCGGGAGACAGCAGCTCAGCCTTCAAGCCTGACGAGTCTTTAGTGCAGGTCCTTGTCCAGTCTCTGGCATTTAGTAGAAATGCTACCATCAAGGTGAGAGTTACCTCTCTTCAGCTTTTAATTCTCAGAAGGAAACCTTTTAATTTAGTAGCTTGGATATTCATTGAAAATGGTGCTATTTCATTTGGATTTTTTTTCACATTCCATAAATTTCTTGAAGATTATGTTATATAAGAGATATTCAACAACTGATGCAGATCTTCTTATTTGTTGCTAATGAATCTATCTGCAATATGCTTAACTGGCCAACACATCAGCTCCGACTCAAATCTAATAGAGGGTAGGCTTATTCAAGGATGGTGAAATAAAACAGACATTTCTTCAAACCTGCAATTGAAATGAGAGGGCATTTCACTAAGCACGACTTTATATATATTTCCAGATTAATAAAGTAATGAAAATTTGATTAATTATTGGATTTCGTTTGGAGAGCTGCAATTTAAGGATCCCCGTACCACTGCCAAAAAGTGAACTGTAACTAAGTATTGTAAACTGTTTTTCCGGCATGACTATAGCTTTGATAAAACAGTTCTGAAAAGAAAACCATACCTTGCAGAACTTTTATGAGAAATGATAAAGATATAGTGAACAAAATATAACCAACAACAGTGTTCTGAGGGGTAAAAAACACCCACAGTGAAGCTAACCTGGTTGAACCATTAACTTCAGTCTGCTAAACCGTCACTGATCTGCTAACTGTCTGACAGAAGTATCCAGGCCCATTTGTTCTACAGCTATGTCCAAACCGTCCTCGATATCCAGGGGTTACGTTCACTTTCGCTCTCTACACCCCTGGAATATGTCATGGCAAAATTTAAGGCAGGAAGATAGCTGTTTGATTGGACTCAGGTAAAAAAAACACCTGACCAATCGCTACCTCTCCTTTGAAGGTAACAAAGGAGAAACGCCTGGCTTCAAAGCCTGTCAACTTTTATCGTTACGTGACCGTGAGATTCTTTTGATGTATATCAAAGGATCAAACTAGTCTCCTTGTCTCATCAACACGGTGGCACACACCGAGCCTTCAATTTTGCTATGACATATTCCAGGGGAGTAGAGAGCGAAAGTGAGCGTAACCCCTGGATATCGAGGATGTGTCCAAACGGAAGTTAAGGGGAGGTTACTGCATATAGGAAGAAACCCAGTGCAGTTGGACACTACAGGGAACCTTAGGTTCCATTGTTGTGCTCAATGTTGAACTAAGGCATACTACACATTTTACACAACAAAATTTTACGGGGACATAAGGTTTGCTGTATAGAGCTGAAGTTTTATGTCAAATATCTGTCTTTTCAGGGTCTGTATTACACGGGGAACTACAATGCTGATTTGGCTGCAGCCTGGATAATGGACAACCAGGAAAAGCCTGACCTTGACAGTCCTCTTCAGGTAAGGTGAAACAATTGACAGTCAACTCCATATATATCTAATTCATAATCAGGTATGTTAATGTCAAACATTTCAGAGTTTACTCCCGTAGGATAGGATATTTTGTAAACTCAAGAAGTTTGAAGTTCATTCCAAACGTTCACAGCAGTGAGGTCAAAGTTTAGTCATTTCATAGTTCCCTCCAATGAGTCCAACATCTAACTCGTTCACCCCAGACATTTCATAATGAACTATTTCAACCTTTGAATTGGAAGAGTTCAAATGTGTCTTCAGGGGTGAATGAGTTAATAAGTCATCTGAGTGTGGAAAAACCTTTCACAAAACCTTTCACAGTCCATTGTGATGATGTCAAACTTTACATGTCCCTCCATTGAGGTCATATATATGTCATAGTCATAATTTCTGTGAGGTGACATATTTTAAAAAATTCTCGTAAATAGTACAACATTTTGTATTTTAGTGCAGTGAGTTAAAACAGCTGATTCTGCAGCGTGATAAATATAAATAAATTATTAAAAACTTCTATTTATTTTACAACAATTATGAAAAAAGTTCTATCAACTTGTAATATATTAATAATTCTTGTTGGGCCTGATGTTAACCTGCATAAGTCTTAATGTGGGAGAAACCAGAGTACCCAAAGGAAACCCTCATGGCTTGGCAGGTGACCATGAAACCTTTTCACCTCTGATTGGGGAATTAAACCCTGCTTGCCTTGATGAAAGGTGAATGTGTAATCCACTGCGTCGCTATGCTGGGTGATCAAATATGGGAAACGGTTGAAAAGTTGATTTTCTGTTTTAATTACAGGAGGATGCTGCAGACTCTGATGACAGTGAGGAGGATTATTTCCCAGAAGGTGTTGATTTCTACAAGATGGTGTTCGTTGTAAACTCCGAGCTGAACATGGGTGTTGGGAAGATCGCTGCACAAGCTGCACATGCGGCCCTTGGACTCCACAGAATTCTGCTGGAAAACCCACAGAAGTTTGGACAAATGCTGATGAGCTGGGAACAATTTGGGTAGTGATTCTTTCATTGGTTTCATTTTGGTATATTAATGGTCAAATAATGGCATTTTCTCCTTCAAAAGTTTTGCTATATTTCCCAAAAAGTTTTCTTGCCATCTCCTTTCCCAACTTTTCTGTTTGGTTATGTGGAAAACCTCTGAAAAGTCTAAACCCTGAGACGGAGAACAGTGATTTATAAGAACAATTTAGCAAAATATCTCACAAATGTAAAAAATGTACTGCAGTGATGCAATTGTGATTGTTTTTCAACAGAGAAACAAAAATTGTAGTCAAGGGAGACAACTCAACACAGCTGATGGACCTGACAAGTAAAGCTGAAGGCCTCGAGCTCCCCAACTATCTAGTCCATGACGCAGGCAAGACACAGGTGAGAGTTGAGTGAAATACAAGTGATGAAGATGTATTACTGTTCGAATTCATCGATCCTGATAAAGCTGATTTTGTTATTCTGTACCTAATGGAGCAATTTCAGTTATGTACAGCATATTTTGTTTCTGTTGGAGGCAAAAGGTCTTTGATCAAAAAAAA